GTAACTATGCTTCTATACCGAACTCTAATAAAAGTTTTTTAAAAAAAGTTATAGAGTAGGTCCATTATAAAAATATTCGTTATATCCAGGGTTGATTATATTTTAAAAAACATAATTCACTTATGTATTAATACATCATAAAAATTATACCAAGTTCTTTTTGGTTAGAGGAACTCCAAATCATATTTATCTAGCAAAGATTATCTTTTACGATATTTACAGTATACTCTGTTGATCACCACCTAATTATTAATAAATTGATTCGTCTGTTTCTTTACAACAAATTAAAGGTCACAAATAATGTCTCGGGTGAGATAAAACGTGGAATACCATGTGCTTTCCTGATCGCATATATCGCTTTATGCAGGTTTGCCTTGCAAAATTTTTTTTTTTTGTTACAACAGGAGAGTAGACTAAAAAAGGAAAGGACTGAAACATTTTACCAAAAGATTAACAGTACAGGCATTTGGATTTTGTAAATTCTTTGTATTATACCTACATACATATTGATATATATCGTTAGTATGAGAGGGAAATACATCTATTTATAACAAACCTTTGCTAAAACTCTTATCAATATTCAAATTTTTTTATTGAAAGAGATGGTCTGATTCAATTCGAGGTTCGGATGATTTTTAGCTACTTTTTTTAATTCCGATCACATTACAAGTTTTTAATATACAACAAACAATATTAGTGTAGTCTTAATTTGTTTAGACAAAGAACATGTAAAGAACAATGTAAAGTTTAAAAGATTGTTTAACTTTTCTCGATTTAAACCAAGATAAATGAAATACTATATTACTTTTGAAATTGACTCTGATATTTTTTAGTTTCATTAATTAGCCTGTAAAGGATAAAATCAATTAAGACATTTATTAATTGAGAGTTTTTTTCACATGAAATATTAAAAAAAGAATAATGTTAGTAATAAATGTCTCATGATCTTAATTCGGCCCTAATCTTAATAACAGCAGAGACCGTTAATGTTACACATATATTAAAACTGGTGAGGGATTATATCCATCACAATTGAATTCAACATAATTAACTTAATTTGTGATTGATCACAGGCGAGAAGGATTCACTTTGGATCGGGTGTAAATCTTAATTTAGTGATCTGAGTATTTTTCTTTATTTAATCTAATTGATCTTCTACAATAAACGTTGATCATACCAGGAACTTGATCTGTCTTTGGTTAAATGCTTTTTTTAGTCTTTTTTTAGTCTTTTTAGTGTTGAAATAATCGTATGATAATGGACACAACTTTCCATACAAATGTACATTTTTCCATATCGTGTAAGGATCTGCTAATACGTAATGAATCTGTTAACAATGGTGCTATTAATACGTTTTAAACCTCTTGATAGTGAATTTGTTAATAATTGGTTTGCTAATAATAGATCTGTTAATATTAGACTTCTTGAATAGTGAATTGGTTAATTGAATAGTGAATTGGTTAATATTAGACTTCTTGAATAGTGAATTGGTTAATTGAATAGTGAATTGGTTAATATTAGACTTCTTGAATAGTGAATTGGTTAATATTAGACTTCTTTAATAGTGAATTGGTTAATATTAGACTTCTTGAATAGTGAATTTGTTAATAATGAAACTATCAATAGTGAATCTGTTAATATCGAACCTATTAATAGTCTGTAAATAGCATAAATGTTGTTCCTATAATGGATAGTTTAAAAAAAAGTATATAGAATAATACTACGTATCTAGAAACATTACAATAATACTATATTATTTGTTATTCCGGCGCAGACCTCAAACAAATACGTATAATTTATAGTAACCTGCATATATGCGCATATATGTAATGTAGAGTAACATGTATAGATCAAATATGAACAGATTATCTATTAATTTCACTTATAATCCATAAATTCATAAATCTATGGGTTTCTGAACCATATTTACATACGCGTTTCACCAAATTCCCTAGGTAAACAAAATGTAAGACTATCTTGACTTCCTATAATTCGGAAGTTGGGGTTATTTGAACATTTTTTCATAATATTTAACATATATATACATACATAGTAACGTTTCACAAAGACATTCGGATTATGCAACAGATTTTTAAACATTTTTAGTCAATTGTCGCGAAGAAAACCTGATTGTAATGATTTTTTTTTTTAAAAGAATTTACATGCATATAATTTATAAAGGTTTCGGATTCATTTTGATCAAGAATAGGAACGATAATCTCATGACTCATTGAGTACAACCAAAACAATAAACATTTTCACCTATCAGTTGAAAAAAAAAAGCCAGATAAAGAAACATGTAAAGAATTTCAAACGTTCCAAACAACCCTGAAAGTTTATCTAAGCGGACTTTCGGAGTTAGACTCATACAGTGGCATTTCAATGAAACATTGAATCAACATTCACATCCATAAAAAGCATCATTTCATACCCTATTGGCATCGTTAAACAATTTAAATCAATTAAATACAGTTAAATACAGTTAATACAGCCAAATACAGGTAGATACAGTTAAATAAAGTTAAGTAATTAATTATTATAATTAATTAGAAATTTAAAAATATATAAATATGTTTAATTTTAAGTCACGCGATTATTTTACAATTACCATTTGTATGAGTTGGCTAAATAATAATATTAATGGTTCCATGGCGTTATGCAGGATTAATTAAAAATCCTTAATTTATTAAGGAATAATCGAAATGAACTCAGTAACTTTTATTACACAATAATAATAATAATAATAATAATGTGTATCATTATAATTTATATAACATTGCGTATGATAAGAAACACATCTCCTTATCATAGACCGGTACAGGAAGAATTGGATCGGTAACCATTTACATCTTTAAATTTAATGAATATACATTGATATTTAACTTTATTAGATGGTTATATGATTTTATTATTACAAATTATAAAATAATATAAATGATATAAAAATAGAAGTATCTTTAGCCAGTATGTTCATCACGTGACGGTGCATTGTTTCAGGAGGTTGACTTTAAATGACATGAAAATTTTTTAAAATGGGTTTATATATAATTTTAAAATGACGAGACGGGAAAACACAATTCACATACACGTGATAAATTCAATACGCGAAGTTAATACGTGTGCAGATCAGCATTATTTAAGAACAAAGGAAATAATGGAATCTGGACCAAAATAAGTTCATACCAGAAACATATTTTCCTGAAATAGAACAAAATAAACAGACTATATGCACCTATTCAATATCGATATAACAAGATCCTTAATTTAACTACGTAACACAAGAAAGGATTCCATTATAGGCATACAAATACAGTCTATCACAAGAACCTAAAAAAGAAGGATCATATTTTATATTTGTCACATGATTTTTTAGATTATTGAAATCAATTGCAGAATTAGTAATCAACCTCACAACTGCGTACGAACCCAAAAAAGGACAAATTACGGAATATTTCTTATCAACTCCATAATTAAGCTTTTTGTAGGAGTTTTTTCTATATATAACATGCTGATGGTTTTCCAAGTATATGGAAAAAAAAAACAAATTCATCACCGATATTCCGAACTAATGAATTTGCAATATTGATTGAAATTTGATTCATAATTCATATGAGTATTGCAAAGTGAAAACCTGTAATTGTACTTAATTTTACTTAATTGTACTTAAAAGAGATTTATACACCAGAGACCGTTAATGTTACACATATATTAAAACTAGTGAGGGATTATATCCATCACGATTAAACTCAACATAAATAATTTAATTTGTGATTGATCACAGGCGAGAGGCTGTCTCCGCTGTTACTCGTGTAGTGTAATATCGAGACTATTTTACATTTGTCATGAGTTGGTGGGTCTCGTGAATTAGATTTTCATCCGTAACCATCTAACAATTCTTGAATTCACTATGTTACTGTATTATATTAGGATAAATAAGTATTTATCAGTTGACCAATTATAATGATAATGCTTGATAATGCTTGATCGATTAGTGTTAGTAACTAAATCTGTACAAATAATCTAGACCTCGATGACTATCTGACTATCTATGCATAAGAGTAAATGATGTACCATGACTATTGTTTTCTTAATTCTTTTGCTAACAATTTATAATCAACAAACTCCGGAATCTCCGAAAAAATCGATTTGAATATTTTATTATTATAATATTTATTTATTATACTTAAAAGATTTATTTATTATACTTAAAAGATTTTTATTCATTGAAAAAAAAAACTCGGCACGATATTACAATTTACTTACACATTTTTTTTTAACATACATTTTAATCATCTTTATTTTGTTTTTTTTTTTTACATCAAGTAAATACAAAGATAGAAAAATATATAGACAAATGTACTTTTTTTTTTTGTTAAAAAAGATTTTCAATAAAAATATATCACATAATGGTCTATGCTTTTTAATAATAAGATCATAAAATTGATAGAGTTATTGTTGTTGAGGAGCCAAAAGATCAAAATAATAAGTTAATAATTGATTTTGATCTTGTGTGAAAGCAGGTATTTCTGTTATTGCGTTATCACCAAAGGATTGCAACCCGTCAAAATTATTATTATTATTATTATTATTATTGTTATTGTTCAATTGAGCAGAATTATCAGAATGATGATTGGTTAAAGGAGGAGAAGGGACTTGAACAGGTTTATAGGGAGTATTGTAATTAGCCGGTGGAGAAGGAGCTTGCCAAGACCTTTCCAAATTACTATTATAAAATGGAGGGGAAGGGATCTGATAGGGCTTGTAAGCCATCGGTCTTAAAGGTGTGGATATACATGATGATGTTGATGATTGTGATAATGGTAAAACATTACCGAGCACTTCCTGTTGTTGATATTGTCGATATAATACATTATGACGTTGAACATGGATTTCATTAACGACATCTGCCTATAAAAAAAAAAAAAAAAAAAAAAAAAAAAAGTTTTTAGAAATTTAAAATTTTATATTTTTGCTAGTAAATAAACATAAATTCATAAACATTAATACAATACCAGTCTCTCATAAACTTCCTTCTCCTCTAGGGATGCATTTCGCCAGAGAATTCCTGTTACTTTACTAATAACTCTCATATTGCAAGATCCTCGTCTTTTAGCTTCTTGATGGACATTCTTTCTACATAATAAAAACGCATTCGGTGGGCGCCTCGGTCTCCTGCACGAACTGTTGGTGATTGAAGTTGCCGGTGATACGAAACCTTCTGGATTATTGTAATAAGGTGGAAATATCCTTCGACGGTCAAGTCTTCCGATTAAAGAATTGGCCAAGTCTTCGATAGAGAAATTTGAAGTTGTCATTTTTTTTTTTTTATAAATAAAAAAAAATAAGATAAAAATAAAAATTCTGGTTTATTTTTGTTTTATTTTTGTTGTGTTTTGGTTTTTTAATTTTTTTCTTTTTTTTTTAATTTGACTTAAATTTTTTTTATCCTTAAAATTTTTTTCTTATCCTTTAAATATTGTTTTTTTTTTTTTGTTTCGGGTATTTTTTTATTTATTTTATTTTATTTTAATTTATTCGAATAATAATAATAATAATAATAATAATAATAATTTATTTAATAATAATAAATAAAATAAAAGGCTTACAACAAAACGAAATGTGAAGTGATTTTATTCCCCAATTTATATAGCAAACTAAATATAAACAAACTATATAACAGTATACGTATAACAAAGTACATGACAAATTATTAAATTAAAAGTGCATTAATAAAAAAAAACTTTTGAAACAAACAACGCTTTTTCCAATCCGAACTTTGAATGATAGCATATATCTGATAAAGGTTAGACCATGAACTGCAATAAATGTTGTGTCGGAGTTCACGGATTATTATCTGATATATTTATTATATTAACAATAATGTGTTTTTTTTTTGATGATCAAAGTTTGAGTACACGTAAACATACGTATCGTAAACATACGTATTATTAGTTTTCCCGTCCCAATAATTAGTTTTCCCGTCCCAATTATTGTAAATAACAAATTACAGGGGGTCAATCCTAGTTACTATTCGTCCAATTAACTTAATATATAAAAAGGATATAAATTATTATATTATTAATGAATTGACCGACTTTATTAATTGTCAAGTGCATAATTTTGTGCATTTTTATGTAACTACTATGATCTAGTATATTTTTATGTAACTACTATGATCTAGTATATTCAAGAAGAACAAGTAAAATTTCTCTGATAACGATAATGTTTGATGGTGTACAGATCACACAAACGTGTGATTCCCAATGCGATGCGATTGATCATCAAAAATTAAAAATGGTAACGAGATATATTTAACATTAATGAATATCCTATTCTTGGCCCCATAAGAATTCCTTTCTGGAATTAAAGTAAATGTTAAATTTATAATGTCCTCCCAAAAATTATTGAAATTATGAAATTAATTGAAATTACTGTTATACAAGTTTATCTAGAAAATTTTCTCCGAATTAAACAATCAAATTCTCTTTAACAACGCATACAATAATACAATAATACAATAATACAATAATACAATAATATATAATATTACTATTGATGCATATATGAACTTAGTCGCGAAAGTCTTGTTTACTTTAATTCATTATTCTCAATGGTTGTTATACATGACCAATCAGTTATCATAAATATTTTCAACTGATATTTTAACGTCTCATCTAAACGATTATTTGTCGGAATGGGTTCAGAAGGTCACTTATCTATCTTTGGCGCGTCAAGGAGGTGTTTATACGGTAGCACCACACTCATTAACAATCCGTAGTTCACATACCTTCTAAAAATATCAATAATCTAGCCCATTCCGTTTGTCTGATCTAAGAGATAATTGTAAATCGATTAATAATTGTTTTTTTTTTTTTTTTTTTTTTTGAGATAATTTAACTGAGCCACATTCGGTTCTCGAAGAAACGGTATGAATAACAAGTTTAATTTCTGGATTTCCCCGAATTTTCCCTCGGCGCACCCCAAAGTTCATAAACAAAGAAAGTTGAAAAAAAATTACCGCCGCAAAAAATCCAGCGAACATGATAAACTGCTGATAACCCCCTTACATAAAATCCATGTCCTATAAGATTCTTTAAAAATCTGACCACAAGTACTGTACCATGCATATGTATGTATGTATATATGTATGTATGTATATCACTTTCCCCCCGTGACGCAAAGAAAAGTATATACATCATCATAACCAAATTGCTTGTTATCTTTTGATTACTAATTAGTTCTCCACAAAATTACTTCAAGTTCAATTCCCGTCTTTGAGTAGAACGCAGATTAACGGTCTACGTAATAGATACAAAGATCAGTAATATTTGTATTATCTCAATTTGGATTTCTTATTATAAAATTGTTCTAAAAAAAAAAAAAAACTTCTTTAATACTCAGATAATATTCTGATAATATTCTGACAATATTCTGACAATATTCTGACAATATTCTGACAAATTCAAATAAGATTCGATGCATTCAAGAATCTTTCTTCATATCCATCTTTTGAACAAAGAATAATTCCTTTTTTTTCAAACCTGTTTTCCTCTTTTTTTCTTTCTCTAACGTGCCTAAAATAGATAATCTTTTAAAAAATTTTAAGTATATATTTATAAAATATAAAAAATAAATTGGACAGTCTTTTATGACATACTACAATATGTGCAAAAATAATAACAATGAACACAAAGTGATCACATTCAATTATTCGGGAATATAGTGTGATAATTGTTACAACTTTAATCTCAAAAATAGCTTATGTGGTCTTAATTGATTCGTCTTTTTTTATCTAACCTAGGAATTAAAATTTTATACACACGTACTACATGTACTACTAGTAATTTATGTGCCAAGTTTGCTTTTTATTTTTTTAGTTGATTAGTTTATTTAGTTTATTTCATTGTTCAACATATGCTATGAGACAACCCTTTAAAACTATTTTTAGGTTTTTTTTAAAGTACATTATGAAGGTAGTTATAAGGTTAAATAAAGGAGGTCACATATCGTGACCATTGAAAATTCAATTTTTATACAAGTGTTTTATGTACCATGATACGCGACCTCCTTTTTTAACCTCTGTTAGTCAAAGATACATAAGTACGTATGTACGTACGTACCTACTGTACATATGCAGTAAAACTCAAAATATATTCATTATAATATTGTAAAGTTTACAATTTACACAATGTAATACAATTTACAATAACGGTAATATATACGATACAATAGAATATGAAAGGTTTGACAGGTGGATCCCATGTTAATACGTGACTTCCCAAATTATCAATCCTATATCTTATTTTGATTCACAATTACTATCCATATTCGGATTTTATTGGAACATCGCTGTTGGATTTTTTTTCAATAAAAAATTTTTTTTATCTTTAATCTTGAAAAAATTCAAAGATCTGAATTTATCAAGGAAATCGTATACATAAAGGGGTAAAGCTAGCGAACAAAAAAAAATGTGCAAAAAACATGGCGTAAACCAAAATTTTCCGTTACTAATTCCCGAATAGATATAAATCTCATATGAGAATCATATGTCAGAAATTTCGGTTGATTCGATCTCGCTAATCTCCTTAATTCTAAATTTAGTTCAATAAATCAAGTCTTAGTCTCGCTTGTTAGTCCAAGGCTAAAGCTTTTAAAAAAAGATTTGGTTTCTTTTACATCATCAATACGTTGATTTATACGTTAATTTATACGCTGATTTATATGCTGATTTATACGTTGATTTGTTCAAGGTCCATTACAAAAAAAGGGAATGTCCGAGGGAAATATTCAACTGGAATATATTCAATAAAATATTAAATACAATATTCAATAATAAAAATATTAATTAAAATATTCAAGGGAATATTCAAGGGAATATTCAGGAAAGGCAAAGTTCAAGTGAACTTTCAATGAATATTCAAGGGAAGATTCAGGAAAGGTAAAGTTCAAGTGAATATTCAAGAAATATTCAAGAAATATTCAAGAAATATTCAAGCCAATGTTCAAGGATAAAGGCGGCAATCATAAAGTCACCTCTTTAATCTGAAAATGTGTTAATGAAATTAGTTTGACTATTCCTAAAGAAGATTATTTGAAAGCATCTGAAATATCTCAGATCAAATGGTATCAACCTACGTATATCAAGGTTCCTTATTTGCTTTTGTCCTTTGGCCCTGATCGCCATCTTCATATGGCTAATTACGAAAACGTTGTATAATCTTTAGAGCTATTATCCCTGCGTATAATCGGTGCCACATAATAAGAATTTCTCTTCATTTTGTATCTCAGGGCTCTTTTCACTGATTAATCCAAGAAATGACTCAAGTCTTTTCAAGTTATTATCAATTGCGAATCTTCGCATCCCTTATTTCGAAGTCAATAAAGTTGAGGCTTCTCATTATCTTTGCATAACATTGACAACACTGTTTCATTAAAAGTCTTGTTCATTGATTATTATATAAAATCTCACGATTGGCTTAAAATGTATTAGTTTCTTTTATTTAGCCAATAATTTAAAATCTATGCGTCGTATAGAATCATTGGTGGTGTTAAAATTGGTAAGTACAGAATCAATTTTTTTTAATTCTTATCAGTTTTAAAAAAAAATTTATCGTGGGATCTTACTTGTAATAGAATTCTCTCCAAATTTATTACTATTGAACCTCACTTTAGAGACTTTAACCATGAATATAAAATCAAATTTCATGTTTTAAACTTGCTTTAAAGCCTTCAATTCAATCTTTTTTTTTTTTTTGCCGTGATATCTGAGTTTGCTTCTAATTAGTAATATTTTTTATGTTATTATTGAATTTGCAACTTGGTTATTGTATGTATACGTATAGCTTATATTCAAATTATACATATATGTTTTAGTTATTAAGTTTATTATTATTTTTCAATTATATAATACTAACTTATTTGTGTTTTTTAAATAAACCTTAATTTTAACTATATATTTTCTATATAAAAATATTTTTTATTAATTTTATTAAAAAGCTTTAAATGTTAAAGTTTGGTATTTAATACATTATTATAATTTTATATAAAATCCAATTTCTTGGCTTTTATATAGTATATATTAGTTGTAGAAACTAAACCTGTTTTTAACTTTTTAAATTTTAAAATTATAATCTTAAATAAAATTTTTTATATAATATCTATATATATATATATATAAATAAAAATGAACTTTAAATTCTAAAAGGTTTAGTACAAGGTTAAAGGTTTCAAAAAACTGCTTTAAAGACTTTGTGGCCATGGTATATTTTTACCAGCATTAGCCAGAGTTGTTGGTAGGCAGAGGTAAATGGGTAAATATGAAAACTAGAGTGGTTAAATAGGAAATATATAAACAGGTTTCAGGTATAGCAGTTATATAGTGTAGAACCTTCAGGTGGACTACTTAAATTAAACAATAACTAAAGTTGTATAAGTAGCTAGTTGTATACTCTTTTATGGTTGTCTTCTATGATTGTAATGCAACTATTAGCCAAATATACTATCAATAAAATTCTAGGTCACAAGTACTTATCTTAATATTTAAAAAAAAAAAAAAGAACTTTAAATAAATTTAAAATTTTTTGAGTTAAATTGAAGTTAAAATAAAGGTGTTTATAATAAAATCAATTTTTATACATGTTTGAAACCTTTTTTTGCTAATTATTAAATTTAAAAAAAATACAAAATACAATAAAAATTTAATAATTATTTTTTTAAAAAAATCTAAAACAGTAAACATATACAAAAGGCTTATAAATACAAAAACAACAAATATAACAAAAACAAATAACTATTATAAAAAATTAAAAAATATTATATAAATCAGTTTTTTAAAAATTAAGTTTTTTTTTTTTTTTTTTTTTTATAGCAAGCAAATGACATATATAAAATTATATTTTAGTATATACTTTTAGTTTTAATTCAAATATCTATATTATAAATAAACAAAAAAATAAAATAAGTTTAGTAATAAATAGTTTAAAAGATATTATTACAATTTGTTAAAATTTTTTATATAATTTCAAATGCATAAAAAGGTAAACAATTTAGTATATTTTTTTTAAATAATAATACAACATTATATATATTTTAAATATATTAATATTTTTTTTAACTTGAAAATAATTGTTAGTTTTATTTAATTCTAATAAATAGAAATAAACTTTATATATATGTTTATAAAACTATTTTATTTCTAATCTAAGCTATATAAATTTAATACAAATTGTTAACTTTTTACAATTATTTTTAATAATAACTATATATCTTATTATATATTTTACATACTATAATCTAGATCTTTGTTATTATATATATTATTTTTGTAAATATCTTAAATTTTAACACAAATTGCTAACTCTTCCTAATGATCAATTGTACCAAAATTCTGTTAAAGAAAATTTTAATTTTCTTTAACAATTTATAATTAAATACACTCTTAAAACTAAATAAAATTTTCTTCTTTTAAATTTATATATATTTGTAAAATTTATATCAATAATTTAAATATTAAATAAATTAATTAATTTTCTGTAAAAATGACTTCAAACTACTTATACTCAAATTTAGCCTAGGAAACTTGTTTTGTTCACTAAGACAAAGTTGTTCAGCTCACTTCAGGCTTTATTTTAATATAAGTTTCATTCAAAATGATCAAATATTGATTATTTTATAAGCAAAAAACTCCAAATAACTACTTTCTCTAAATTTTTCTAAAAAATTAGTTCTTTTCTCCTTATTCCCTTCAAATCCAGACCTCAAACACATTTTAAAACAATTAATTTTACTGGTTCAATCAATTAACAATCATTTTTAATTATTTTTCTTTTAAGTTCTTAATTAATTTACATAAAACAAATAATTACAAATTTGTATTTATTCTAAAAATATATAATCTTATATATACTTTATTCTATTTTTAACAAAAGTTATACTGAGCAAGGCCTCACCTTAATACCAAAAAAAAAAAAAAACAAAAGTTATACAAACCACATACTGTACTACAACCAACCAGTGTAACAGACCATCTCTGGACACTTACCGAAACAACCAGAAAATATCGAACCAGTAAATTAGATCAAAATATATATAAATTTGTAAATACAAATCTTAATAAAGGTTAATGACAAGGCTACCAAAGAAGAAAAAAAAAATTAAAAAAAAAATTAAAAATAAAAAATGTGAATTAAATAAAAAAGAAGCTTGAAAGATAATTAATATGCTTATTACAAAAGAAAGAAAATTCTTTTAATATAGTTTTAAATAACTATCTATCTCAATAGTTAAACAAGCAGTTTATCTATAACTGAGATAATGTAACAGGTTGCACTTAGATACCATTAGGGTGACCAAGTAATGCTAGACTTAAGCATTAAAAAATTCTATATAATTATATATGTATATAGTTTCAAGAATCTTAATAAAGTACTAGCGTAACTGCTTAAGGTTAAAAAAAAAAGAATTTATAATGAAATGATATTACTCAGATTAAATTAGCTAAAAACTCTGAGAACACTAATTTTGAACAGTACTATTAAGGTTTTAGTTTAAGAGCGAATAAAAAAGTAAACAAATCAGAAAATGAAATATTTAATGGTTTTTTTGTCATAAACAAATAAAGTTATTATTGAACCCGTTGGAATTAAACGTAAATTAAAATACGCGTTATTATTGAGGCTTGGGTACAATTTCCAGTTTTTGCAACTAGGTTCTCTCGACTATTTTTGTTGTTCAATATTGATTGGCGAATCAAAACAACAAGCCTCAGGATTATTTTTATAAAACTTCGACAGTCTTCATCTCGTTAAAGAAAAAATGGCATTAAATTTAGAAAATTTTTTATTAAAAGATATAAAAAGTTTATTCAACGATCCAAATTACTCTAATGTAGTGATTCAAGTTGGCCGCCATCCTGATACTAATAGCTTTAACGCGCATTCTTTGATATTACGAGCAAGATCATCATATTTTCGATCGGCTTTAAAAACAAATAATGGACAAGTATCTACATTAAACTTGCCAGATATTTCTCCTCGTGTGTTTGAATACATTTTAAAGTTCGTATTTTTTTTTTTAATCTTAATAATAATTCATTGGTAATATTTATGAAAATTGAATTTATTTGTTTAAATGTAGTTATATATATAGCGGAACAATTAACTTGAACGAAACATTACTGAGATCTATATATTTTGAAATGTTAATCGCATCATCCGACCTAAATCTTACAGATCTAATCGACCATCTTCAGGCCCATCTTCTTACCAATGATACCGAATGGATTCACACTAATTTACTTAAGCTTCTATATCTCACATTTACCCATCCGTTATACTCCACCCTATCTAAATATTGTCAGAATACTTTCAACACGCAATTCACTCAAATATTTAGTTCTCCAGAATTTCTCAATTTAGATGAACAGTTCTTGATTAACATTATTGAACGTAAAGACCTTCAAATTGACGAAATAGTAATTTGGGAAGCCGTTATTCGATGGGGAATTGGAAAATTGCCTTCCTTGAGTGAAGATGTAAAGGAATGGACAAATAAAGATTTTATTAAACTAAGAAAAGTAGTAAAAAATTTATTACCGCATATTAGATTTTTTAACATTTCGGGGTTAGATCATAGGGCCAAAATCCGTCCGTTTAAAAAAATTTTGGAAAAGGAATTAAGAGAAGAGATCAAAGACTTTTTCTTTGCAAGGATTCCACCAACAAAGTTTCAACAACTTCCACCTCGTATTATAAAAGATTTGAGTAATGAAAACCACAATCAAATTAATAATCAACCCATAAATAATTTAGCTAGTGTTAATGTTCCTTTATGTACTACAAACTCGGTAATTCTTGGCAAAAAAGCATTCGCAAAGATTTCATCCTGGATTGATAAAAAACAACCAGCGTATTCATACACTCCAGCGGAAATACCTTACGATTTTAAGCTATTGTATAGGGGAAGTAGGGATGGCGTAACAAACGTGAAGAAGTTTCATGAACGATGTGGAAATCAAGGTGCCACAGTTATTATTGTTAAAATTGCAGAGTCTACACGAGTTCTTGGTGGATATAATCCTAAAGACTGGTTGAATGAAAATGTGTGGGGTAAACGAATGTTTAGCTTTATTTTTTCTATGGAAAACGATAGTGGTGACGGAAATAACGAGAGAGATGCTGGCAATGATGATAACGATACTAATAATGCTAGTAATTCCTCTAAATCAAAAAAAGATAGCCATGATATAGTGGCGCGAGTAAAGTTACCCAAGTTCGCAATCTTGAATTCACAAAAGAATCCAGGATTCAGTTCGGATTTACGATGGTTTAGTGGTACTTGTACCCCTAAGTCATATGATAAACCTATTCATGACGATAAGGTATTTTCTCTTACAGACTTTGAGGTGTTCAAGGTTGAAAAAAAGAGCAACGATGATGGGAATTCAAGGAAGAGAACTAGAGTAACTAGAATTGAGGATGAAGAAGATGAGTTGGATTTTGATTTAGATGAAGGTGATTATGGTGGAGATAATGCCGGAAAGAGACTTAAATCATAGGCTTAGTTCTTTTTATATTACTGCTTGAAGAAAACTTTGTCTCGCTTATCTAAAAAAAAGAGTATTTATGTTATCTTTATTTCAATTAGTTGTAGAAAAATTGTGTTAAATGTATCTGAGTTCGTAACTATGTAATTAATACAATCCCTAATTTATGGATTATAATTTTTCTTTGCTATCTTCCTTGCCGTCAAAATATCACACGTGATCATAAACAAAACTTTTAAGGTTTACTAATTTTCCTATTGGCTAGAATTATTCGCACCATATTACATTCTTAAAAAGTTAAGATCAGTTAAGGTTAAATGTCAAAAATCTTGTTAGTACGCAAAAGCCTTTCTTAGACGATAAAATTTTTATGTTACACCTGATCTTGTTCTTTGATTCGCTATAGATGCGATTTATACAAATTAGTGAACCCCTTATATTGAAGGGTCGGGCCTAGGGGCTTGCAAATTGCCTATATTTGAGGCCCTACTCGCATTTATGGTTAAAAATTTTTTGCTGGCCCGGCCCGCATTTAGGGTTAAAATTTTTTTGCCGGCCCGGCCCGCATATGGGGGTGCCCACAGCAAAAGGTGGCTTTGAGCCAACTAATCAGATTTTGAGATTTTATATAATATCTAATTAACTGATAAATATCTTTATAAAAGTAAATTTTAATTGCTAAATACAGTATATTAATAAAAAAATGTATAATTTGAATTAATTATTTTAATATTATATATGTAATAGTTATATACCAATTTTGGACATGATTTTCTCAAAAGCACATGATTTTTCTGAAGTTACCTTTTGCTGTAGGTCCTCTTATATGTCAAATTTTTTCTTAATCCCAGCCTGCAATTATAAAATTTTGCAAATTTTTTGACCTGGCCTGGTTCATAATTATAAAATTTTGCTTTAGGTCTGGTCTGGTTTGCAAAAATTTGCAGGTTAGGCTGGGTTAGGCTGTGAGACCTAATGCAAGCTTCTAGTTAGACTGATCAAATCTAGATAAATCCAAATCTTTAAAAAATAATTACTAATTTTTATTATTATTAAGATAATTTCTTTGGTTTTTTTACTTTTTATTAATGATTTTTTTAATAATGTGATTCTATAAACTAATATAGGAGCCTCATCTTAATACCAAAAAAAAAAATAAAAAATAAACTAATATAGAAAAAATATACAATTGGTTATATATATAATTTTTTTATATTTTTTATTTAAAAAGTCTACTCAAAGGTTTTTTACTAGGTGTGATAACCTAGTAAAGTGGATAAGTTGTCAACCCTCAAGTGACAAGTCTAAGGTTCAATTCTCATAAATGATAAATTTTGAAAATTATATCTATGTTATAGTAATTGTCTCTTATCAATCAGTTGGGGTTTGAGTATTTGTAATCTTAGATACATCAAGTTGGATTCTACTTAATATTGGAAGCTTAGACATCTATATGAAGTGTAACATTACATGTATATAGAGGAATATAAAAAACTGATATATAAGGTTTTAGTACAAATTTATAATAAGACCATTAGGCATAAAAGACTAAAAAACCAAAAAAGTGAAAACTTATTTGAAAATCCTAAATAAAGAAATAGCACAAACTTTCAATAATGTTATTAGACTAATGGAAGCTTATGAAACACCTTCATAGAAACTGTTAAATAAATCAGATAACAAAGATGTGTAGAGAAGTATATAATCAATCAGGTTATTGAAATTACTAGAGAAAAAGAATACATAAATATACTATATCAAGTCATCTGGATTGGAAGTCTGAAGAGTCAGTTGGTTCTAAGTTGCAGTTAGTAGAAGATGATAGAAAAAAAATCAAAAAAATGAATACTAGGGTTTGGGTAAACTTTATAAGAATAATAGTAGTTTAATGAATAAGCCTGACTACAAGTTTTGGTCTTAGTTATAGCATCAAATTAGATTAGTAGTAAAAGGAAATACAGCTCATTCTAGTAGATTTGACTTAAGAATAAAAATAGTCTAAGGATTATAGTTCTATAATTAAAAGCAAATAGATCTGGGTTTGTGATCTGATAAAATTAATACTAGGATCAGATTAGAGAGTTTAAATAGAACATCTAAGCAGAAGTGTTAGATACAACAACTGGTAAAAAACTCTTGACAGACTCCTTAAATAGGTAATATATAAAAGTTACACATATAGTCAGTTGTATACTTGTTTGATAGTTCAATATAGATACATTTGTATAAAACATGTATCTGATATAAGTATTAATAAAAAACTAAAATCAAAAAGGTCATCTTAATATCAAAAAAAAAAGATTTTTTACTAATTATTATACTTAATACTTCTATTTGGATATTCTATTTTAAATCTTCTGAATATGCATTTGTGTTAACATTATTAGATCATATTCAGATCATCATCTTAATCTTAAAACTATTTCATCCTTAAAATTAACTTCTTAGAGTTTTCTGTATTTATTTTTATAATTAATCCAATATTACTATAGAAAGACTAATATTTATATTTAAAGTTAGTTATTAAACTACTATATTCTTGTAAGTTTACACAAACTCTAGTATTTACTTTATAATATATCTGAATTATTTTAATATACTTTTATTTGTTTTTCAAACTCTTAATTCAAATAACTTAGTAGAATTGCAATTAGTCTATTAGTATATTAGATTAGTCTAATATTCTTTTCTTCTAGTCTATTTTAGTAATTTGTTTGGTAATATATTTTAGATTTCTAACTTAAAGATTCTTGCCTATTCAGATACTTTGATATTGGTATTTATTTTCTAAGACTAGTCTTTATAGTAGTATTATTAAAGATCTGTATTATTTTTATTCAAGTTTTCTCAAATAGACTTCTTGTTTTCTAATTTTAACAGATTTATACAGTCACAAAAACTTATCTAGATTTTGTATTATTCAATACTAGTTTGCATTTCTCTGTATAATGTTATACTTACACAAATGCTTCATAACTTGCTAGTTATGCTAATATAGCTATTATTACAAATATCTTAACCTAATTATTAAAAACAGTTGTTATTATATAAATATTATATAGGTGATTATTTAAATTTTTACTGTCAATAAAATTTAAATACCAACATATTACTTAAAGAGTTGACAACTTATTTACTTTACTAAGTTACTATATCTTATGAAATAATTGCTAATTATAAAAAATTAAATCAAACAAATAATTTTAAAATTTATAAATATATTCTTTATAGTTATAAGAATATATTTATTTAAAGAAGATGGTAATTCTAGTGTAGTAATTAAATTGTTATTCTTTAAGCAATAGGTCTAAAGTTCAAATTCCATTAGCAGTAGAAATTTAAAAAATGATCCTATTTTGGCAACTTGTATAGAATATTTAAGATTATAATTCTGTAATTCTGATTATACTAACTTTGAAAGTATATAATGTTGTATAAGAAATTCAAAAAATATATACTCTATAAAAAACCTTGTTTGAAAATCCTGAGTAGAGAGGTAGTACAATCTTTGATAATACTATCTATAAAAATCTTGATCTAAAGACAAAAATCTGGAGCAGCTAATCTGTACAGATAAGAATCCTAAATAAAGAGATTCATAAATCTGGCTACCAGTTAAATTAGGTATAAAGTCACATTATATAGAGCTAACTGAATTAGTAGTATAAAAAAATTTGTAAGAGCATACAAGGTACTGATAAGGTTATAAAAAGAAGTACTAGAATTGTATAAACTTTACAAGAATGTAATAGTTTAAGAGTTATTCTGATTGCAAGTATTGGTTTCAGCTATAGTAATTTTAGAATAGCTAAAAATTGAGTAATAGAAGGCTTTAGTAAGTTTAGTACAAGGTTAAAGGTTCTTCATATAAGTAAACTGCTTTAAAGACCTAGTGATTATAGCATATATATATTAGTGAAAACTGGTATAATTAGTAGAAAAGCTAGATAAGTAAATATAGAAATTAGAGTGTTTAGATAAAGAACTTACAAGTAGGTTCTAAGTATAATAGCTAGTGTAGAACCTTTAAGTAAACTACTTAAATTAGATAATAACTAAAGTTGTATAAGTAATTAGTTGTATACTTTTTCAATAATTGTTTCTATAGCTATTGTAATACAATTACAAAGCTGAAACATATTATTAATAAAAGTCTGAATTACAAGTACTTACCTTTAATATTAAAATATATATATATATATATTTTTTTTGGATATTAAGATAACCTCTTTGGTTTTTTAATATTTATTAATAACTTATTAGTAATGTGATTCTATAAACTACTACAAAAGAAAGTACAATTGGCTATATATGTAACTTTTTTATATTACCTATTTAAAAAGTTTGTCTAAAGATTTCTTACCAAATATCCTTGTTTGGATGTTCTACTTTAAACCCTCTAAACCTATAATCTGTATTAACTTATTGAATTATACTCAAATGTTCAGATTATCATTTCAATTTTAGAACTAATTTATCCTCAAGATAAACCCTTCAGAGCCTTCTATACCTATTTTTATAACTGATTTAAATATTATTATAGCAAAACCAACACTTGTAATCAGAGTTATATCATTTAACTACTATGCTTTTGTAGAATTTACACAGATCCTAGCATTTACTTTATAATATAACTTTGGTATTTTAGTATATCTTTGCTTTTTTACCTACCTTTTTATCAAACTCCTAATCCAGATATCCTATGTAGAACTATAACCAGTCCATTAGTATATCAGGTTAGTCTAATATCTTTTTCTTTCAGTTCATTCTAATAGTCTAGTTAGTGGTATCTTCAAGACTCCCAATTCAAAACTTCTTGTCTATCTGGCTACTATAACTAGATATTACAACCTTGTTATCTGTTTTTTTAAGCTAGTCTTTACAGTAAGACTGTTAAAGATTTGACTATTTCTCTACTTAGATCTTTTTAAATAGACTTCTTGTTACTTAATTTTAATAGATTTATATAATCACAAGAACTTATCTAGTGTTTGTACTGCCTGATTTGTTAG